TCCTTGTAGAGTCCTTGTACAGTCCTGCACGTAGGCCATATTGCTATCTAATACTAATACTATCTTTATCTTCTTAAACTAGTATTTGTGTGATGAGCCCTGTGACTGTGACGGCTGAGAGCTGACTATACAGAACTGTAGATGCAGACTTTACAAATGAAATTATATAATTAGATATAATCAATATTAAGTATATATTTACATAATAATTAGAATATTTATAAACATTTATGAACAGACAGGTATAATATAGTAACTATATACAATAGCACCAATAGACAGCAGATAGCTCATTTATTTACACGCCACCTTTCCCTCTCCCGGTCATAAAAGGAGACTGCTGGAACATCTGCGTCTCCATCCCCTGGTCCTTGTACAGGGAGAATACTTTGGCAGGGCAGTAGATGTATTTTCCTGACAGACCAGGGAATTGTGTATGAATGTGAGGACTGGTCCCTGCTTCAGCTGCAGTTTGCAGAACCCGCACTTTCTCCCAGTGAAGGAGGAGACTCATCTCTCTTCCTTTTCTTCTCCTGCCGCTCATTCACTCTCTGCTGCGTGGCCTCCTGCTCTCTCTGGCAGAACTCAGTGTCCATAAAGTCTCGGAATGGCATCCTGGAGTTGGTCAAACCCTCTGTGCGATAGGTGTCATAGACCTTGGTGGAGCAATAGAAATACCTGGTAGGACCCGGCTGGTAAAACTCGTGGATGGAGCTGCCATCGCCCTCATATTTGGATTTTGGCTGGCCACAAGACAGGCATTTCTTTGTGTGGGGTTTATTTGCTGGAGGCTGCTGCTGCTTTTCCAAGATCCGCTGCACAACCTTCTCTATGGCCTCCTCAGACAGCGGTGACATGAGTCTGAGCAGGAGGAGGGGGGTTCACTGCTGCAGGGGGCATGGTGACAACAGGCGCTGTGCTGGTCTTACTGCCTGCTGTGAGCGAACGATGTACTCCCGCAGCACTTCAGCCTTGTCTGAGGCATCACCTCCTCTCACTCGCACCAGAGTGAGGGCGTTCTCCCTCACCACCTCCTCCCTCTGAGGAGCACCGCACTCCCTCATGGACGGGTCGTCCCTGATCTTCCTCGCCTCTTCCGAAGGGTCCTGCAGCAGGAATCCACGTGGGCCCTTGCGAAAAATCACAGTGACGCGGCCAGGAAAGAATGAAAATGTCTTCATATTGTCTGCAACAACAAAAAAAGATCATAAAATATCTAGCTATAGCATGATAGAGAAGTATGTATAATGTATATATCTTTAGCATAATAAAGAATAAAATAATTACATTTAGCATTATAAAGAAGCATGAATCCTGTATAATCTAGAGAAGACATATACAGTTGTATGTTTACATCTGGACATTAGCAGCATGAGGCTCTGGGATACAGTAAGTACAGTTATAGAAGGAAAATATGAACTGGTAAAACACTAATACATTGTCGTAAACTAACTGCATATAATTCATTTTCAACTCAATGTGTTGCTGAACTATAGAAATGTGAAATACATATAGATAGTACACACATCAACAATAATTAGCTAATAATAATTAGCTAGCGCTGGAAATACTACTACAACCAGACGTAAACAAACTGCATTACTGTATACAGTAGAATACAGTGAATACAGATTGTTTGTACAACGCAGAGAAAGTGTTTTCTTTACAATATTGATCCAAACAGAGAGATCTACGAGCAGCAGCAGTAACAAACATATGACACGGAGGTAAACAATCATAAACAGCGCACTCGAGATTTAAACTACAGACGTGTGTGAACGATCTACGCACAATATGAGAGATTTATGAAGTGAAACATAAAGAACGAGCACAAAAACATTGTGTTTATCAGAGGAGACTTATCGAGTGCGTGTGTAATCCAGAATGAATGGAGAAAGCCGGCTCTCTCTGTTTGAGAGCAGCGCCCACAAAGTTTTCCCCATAGTCCTTGGATGGGAAACCGCCTGGGAATACCAGGTGCTGTAAGCATTTTGCCCCTGGAGCTCGGGCCTGGGGGCGAGCTCAACAACAGCGCGAGTTGTTGTCGTGTAGTTGAGTTGAGTTGAGTGCAGCTTGAAGTTGTTTCCGTTTCTCACCACTCATCATTTCCGGTAGCATATCAAACAAAATAATGGACGTTGTTTTAGTAGTGTTTGTTTCCACTGCAAAGCAAAGAAATGGGTGAATATTTCATTTAGAATGTTTTGATTTTCCAATTTAATTTAGAAAATGGAAATACAATAAAACAACCACGTAATTTGTTTTTCTGATTTTGTTTTGAAACGGAATAACTAATGATCGAAGGGTACACGGATTATTCAGAATACTTTTACTTTGATTAGCAATACAAAAATTTAAACTACACATGTTACTGTACATATAGCTACCATTAATTAGGAATTCTAAAATGCACAGGAGTAGCAGATCATATGGCAAACATTTGCATTAACTTGCATACAGTAGCGGCGCCAGGTTTGCAATTTTGGGTAGGCCTGCAGATTAGTAAGTAGGCCAAATTCGCTTGCAAACTACAAAGGCTAGCTGGAATTGGGGTTTCAAAGAATATGGTTCAAACGCACACACGCACGCACACGCACTCAAGCACACACATACACACAAGCTCATTTATGAAACTTGCGTAGAAAAAGGTGTACATTTTGGGTGTATATTCCATTTACGCAAAATCCACTGTCGGATTTATGAACATGTGAGATCCGCCCAGATCTGACCGTACGCAGCTGCGGGTGTTGATAAATCGACTGAATACGAAAATATTTATGAAAGTCACACCTAGAATTATGCAGCAATCGCGTGTTTCACGCCCCGTCTTCGTGACAGGTCAGCAGGAAGCCGGCCTAAAAGACTGTTTGGAAGCCTCAAAAGGCACGTTTGTTTGTTCATGTTTATGTAAAAATAAATATACTCTATATATTCAGCTGCGTTTTGAACAAATTTGCTAAAATGTTTTGATACATTAGAAAAATCTTTCTTGAATTGTAGAAGTGAATAAATATAGATTGATTGATTGAATGAATAATTCATATATATTATGCAGCGGTGGCTCTGAATGAAGCGTCTGCAGCGTCTTGGACGCAGCCTGGCTCGGGGTAGAAGTGCGCATTGAAGCGCTGTACACTTCAGAGAGCGTTTGCGGTCCAGATTTCACAAAGAAACTCTGGGGCCAAAACTTCTGCACATGTGGCGCGACCTCTCACGGCACTCGCTGCGCACTCTGGACAGGGCAGTGAGACATTTGTGAGTGAGCAATACCATCGATGCGTTATTGGGGTGTGTGTCTGTGTGAGGGTTACACAAATCTAATGAAATAACACATTGCTTTAGATGTGAATGAGGAATACAAATAGCCGTGCGTAATTACGCAGCGCAGAGCCTGCCACAGCAATAGATGGGTCACACATCCCTGTTGCGTAAAGTGTATTTATAGAGCCTTTCACTGTCCAGGATCACAAAGCGCTTCACATTTTAAAAACATACAGATCAAAATAATACACACACAAGTCAGATTTAATAGAAGGTTCTCATCATGAGCTGTGATTTATTCGAAGTTTGCGTGTTTCCATTAGACTTTTTCTGATGCGCAAATTTTAATTTTGAAACATGATCCTCAATGAAAACACAGCATATAATTTTGCCAGAGGGAATATGTTTATTGTTGTCCATATCTTGAATTTCATGCGTGTTTTGGCGTGTTGTGCCGAAGGTTGAGATCAGCGTATAGATTTACACCACCTCCAGACCTGGCGTATATTTTGTGCGTATTGTACGCTCACGTCCAGATAGATAAATGCGGAAAAGTGTAATATTTTGCGTACGCCTCATTTACCCTGATTTGGCCGTACGCAGGTTTCATACATGAGGCCCACAGTGTGTCTCACACAGGCCTAGAGTTTACCTCATCAGTGCGAGGCCAGCCTGGCCTGACCCTCCTCCTCTGGGACCTACGGGCCCGGGCCTCTGGCTCCTCTACCTCACAAAGTTCACGCTGAACTGTCTTAAAACTAAAATGAAAAAGGCTGCTCTGTTGTGAATGTTTTGAGAGCGTTGTCAATCTTTAAGACGAGGAATAGCTGGTTGTTCTCGGGAACGAGCTTCACGCTGTGTGATATGATATTGGACAAAATTCTTCAGCCAATGAACAGGACTATATTTGAAGCAACGTAGGAACGTGATGACGCTCAGGGGCTTATATTTTCTTAAAACATTAGAACGCAACATTTAGGCATTACCAATAATTTGTGTATAAAAATAACAATATTTAAATTATGACTTTTAATAAAAAAGGCTAATGACTTGAGAGGCGAAGAACAAATTTGAGTAGGCCAAGAAAAAAACTGGTAGGCACCGGCCTACCCAGGCCTATCCCTGCCGCCGCGGCTGCTTGCATATAAGGCATTTTAAGCGTCCCGCACATACGCACGGCTCATTCACTCAGCGCTCTTTCCTATTAGATCCAGTGTTTTCTCCAGCGCCTGTGGGGCGTAGTGAGATTGTCCAAGACTTTCGCTTGGAAGATCGGGGTTCGAGCCCCGGCCAATCGTCAAATTTTATTAGCGGGGGGAGTATATGAATCAGATTACTCCGTTACTGAATAAAGTTGCATTTTTTTCCTGCAGTTTGGTTGGTGCAGATTGTGAAGTTTACAACAGTTTACTACAGTCTAGCAACTATTTTAAATGTGTTGGCCTAATTACTAAGTATGTTTTAGAAAAAATTTAAACGTCAACAAAATCAAAAGTGTCATAGACTGTACTTGAACCCGAGTCCTCTCACACCAGAGTCCACCTCTTTATCATTGAGCTATAAAGCCACAGAAAGTTATCCGGTGAACAGAGAACGAAGACCGATGAGAAGCCAATTTTCCTAACCCTGCTCACAAGTGCCACCTGGTGGTTGTTCGGGTCATTCCAGCATCACTGGGGAAAAAATAAATAAAAGACGCGTGAATCACACGTGAGTCTCGTGTGATTCACGCGTGAAAGGCGACAAAACGAAGTGGGACCTACTGTACACCAGAGCAAAGACCGATGCAGCTAAGGTGGGCCTCACGCAGCCTGAGGGCTCGCCTGAGCCTGGAGCCGTTTCCGAGCAGGATGCTAATAATGCTAACGAGCGGCTGCTAATACGCATGGAGGTAATGATGGAGACTATGCGCACGGACATTGTAAGTCAGTTTGAACAGATTGTATCTGGGGCAATAAGAAAGGAAATATCTGCTGTCTGTGAGCCCTTGCAAAGAAAGATTATTGCGCACGATCAAACCATTGCGAACCTCGAGGATACTGCTACTGACCACGATGCTCAGCTAACTAGCCTAAATGCTACGGTAGCGTCGCTGACTGAGCGTGTTGGTTCCCTGACGCAGAAGTGTGAGGATTTGGAAGGAAGGTCGAGATTGAATAATATTCGCGTGGTGGGTGTCCCGGAAGGCTCCGAGGACTCCCGTCCAACTGTGTTTGTGGCCAAACTGCTCCAGGGCTTGCTCGGCTTGGACGAGGAACCAGTGTTGGATCGTGCCCACCGTACCCTCCGCCCTAAACCAAAGGACGGGGAGCTTCCTCGCCCGTTTGTTGTGAGAGTGAATATGTTTCAACAACGCTGCGTAATCCTAAAAAAAGCTGGATCATCTGGACCCTTATTTTACAAAGGAAAGAGGGTTTCAATCTTCCCGGATTTCACTACTTCTGTGGCCAAGAAGCGAGCTGCTTTTGCCAAAGTCAAGAAGGAGCTTCACTCGTGTCCTGGTGTGAAGTTTGGACTTTTTTATCCAGCGAGACTGCATATTACTCCTCCGAGCGAACAAACTCACAAATTTGAAGACCCGACATTGGCTATGGACTTTGTGCTGAAACGTTTAAAAACTGTGGTGATCCCGGAGTCTGTTTGAAGTTAGGTAACCTACCGGTTGAAGTAAACATTTTGCTCTGACATTATGACAACATACTATAATTTGAGTGTTCTCGTTGTTGTACTGGCATTATAATGTTGCTCTTTGGCAGGTCCACTTACTTGATATGTCCAGCACCATTTCATGCTTACTAATATCTGTATTTGTATTAGGAGATATTCAGATTCAGATTCATTTATTTCGCCATTTGCAGTATGTATACACCACATTGGAATACATTTGTAAAAGTTCCCCGTGTGCACAGGACAAGTACAGACACAAAACAACATTAAAAGACAAAAATAAAACAAATTTTAAAAACAGTAAACAAATGTCACCGTGAAGTTGACCAACTTAAAACAGATCTATACGAGTGCAAAACATTAAAGTGCTCTATTCAAACTGTTAACAGCTCGTGGAAAAACACTGTTAGCATGACGAGATGTCCTGCATCTCAGAGAACAGTATCTTCTGCCAGAGGGAAGAAGCTGGAACAAGGCTTTTCCTGGGTGGCCAGAAGAGTCTCTGATAATTCTCAGGGCACTGTTAAAAAGTCTGGATTGATAAAGAACCTCCAGAACAGGAAGCTCACAGCCCACGGTCCTCTCTGCAGAGCGGAGCACCTTGTTTAGAGCTCTCTTTTCTTTATCTGTGATGTTACCGAACCACACAGACACAGAACCAACAAGCAAACTCTCAATGGTGCAGCGATAAAAGTTCAGCAGAATCTTAGAGTTAGTGGTAAATTCTCTAAGTTTCCGCAGGAAGTAGAGACGCTGACGAGCTTTCTTTACGACTCGGTCAGTGTTTTTAACCCATTTCAGGTCATTAGACAGAGTTAGACCCAGAAACTTACACTCCTCTACAATCTGCACTTGGGAGTTATCGATTGCGACAGGCAAATGAGAACTATTGCGACTGAAATCAAAGACCAGTTCGCATGTTTTGGATGCGTTCAGCTGGAGGTTGTTAGCCTTACTCCACTGAACCACGTTTTGGATCTCGGCTCTATAAGAGGATTCATCGTTATTACTGATGAGACCGATGATGGTGGTGTCATCAGCATATTTGATGATCAGGTTAGAGTCTGAGGAAGACACACAATCATGAGTGTACAGTGTAAAAAGTAAAGGACTCAAAATACATCCCTGAGGAGATCCAGTGCTCACAGAAACAACATCTGAAAAACAGTCATTGATTTTCACTCTCTGAGATCTGTCAGTTAAAAAGCTATAGATCCATTTACACATGGCAACACTTAAACCCAGAGACATGAGCTTTTCAATCAGTTTACTTGGGACAAGACAATTAAAAGCAGAGCTATAATCAATGAACAGCATTCTTGCAACAGATTTCCTATTGTCCAAGTGACTGTAGACAGAGTTCAGAGCAAAGGAGATGGCATCCTCCACACTCCTATTCTGTCTGTAAGCAAACTGGAGCGGGTCAACACTCACAGGGATCTGGCTCTTAATGAAGTCCAACACAAGCCGCTCGAAAGTCTTCATTAGGACAGAAGTGAGGGCCACAGGGCGATAGTCATTGAGGCATGTCACAGGAGATTTCTTAGGAACTGGGATAATGGTCGACTCTTTAAAGCAGTTCGGCACAGTACAGTTCCTTAGCGACAGGTTAAAGATGTCTGTTAGCACAGGGGCAAGTTGCTCAGAGCACAGTTTCAGGACCCGGGGTGGGATGCCGTCCGGGCCAGGGGCTTTCCGGACAATGGTGCTGGACAAGACCCGCTGGACTGCCTCCTGAGTCACGGTGAACGCACCTTGATTGAGGCAATCAGGAAAGACAATAGGACAGGCATCGGCAGATTCGAAGCGGCAGTAGAACGTGTTCAGCTCATTAGGCAGAGCTGGGCCAACAGATCCGATTTTCCCAGCACTAGGTTTCCAGGACGTGATGGCTTTAATACCGCTCCACATGCGCCGAGGGTCATCTTCCTTAAAATAACCCTTTAACTTGTCCCCATAACTGCGCTTTGCAGATTTAATAGAACGTTTCAATGCATAACAGGATAGCTTATAGGCAACTGTCTCGTTAGATTGAAACACCAGAGCACGCTCATGAAGTTTTTGTTTCACTTCTGCGTTCATCCAAGGGTTTTGACTGAGATGTACTTTAATGACCTTCTGTGGGACACAGCAGTCAATACAGAAGCGTATGTATCCAGACACAGCGTCACAGAATTCATTAACATCCTCTGATTGAAACACAGACCAGTCAGTGGCATCAAAACACCCTTGTAGCTTCATGCTAGCCTCCTCGGACCAACACTGCACAGTGCGTGAGGTTGGTTTATGTTCCCTGCTCCTCTGAGTGTATGAAGGAAGAAGGAGAACAGAGGAGTGGTCAGACTTTCCAAATGGAGGTCTGAGACTGGACCTGTAAGCTCCCTTCACATTGCTGTAGCAGTGATCCAGAACATGTGCTCCTCTTGTAGCTCGAGTCACATGTTGGTAGAAATTTGGGAGTACAGTCTTTAAATTACATTTGTTAAAATCCCCAGCGACAATAATCACTGCATTAGGATGAGCAGTCTCGTATTTATGAAGGATCTCGCTCAGATCCTGTAGTGCTACAGTATAGTCCGCTCGTGGGTGGATGTAAACAGCGCATAAAAATATCACAGAAAACTCCCGCGGAAGATAAAAAGGGCGACAGCTCAAGACCAGGCATTCCAGATTGGCAGTACATGTATGGTTCACGATGCGAGTATCCGTGCACCAGCGCTGATTAATTAAAAAGCACACACCTCCACCTCTGGATTTCCCCGTGGTCTCCTTTTCTCTGTCCGCGCGGTGAACGGTGAATCCCGGGGGCTGAACAGCAGCCTGTTATCCTGACAGGGAATTTTAGATTTTTCTTGATTGATTGATAACTTTTTTAATTATTTTACTTTATTTTTATATATTTTTTGTTTATTTTATTTATTATTTTTTGTGTGATCATTAGCCACCGCATTATTTTGTGTGTAGATTATTGCCTTTCTTATATTTTTTTGGTCAGATTTTTGTTTGTTTTTTTTCTTTTTTTTATTGCTAATATTTCTTTAGATTGTACTTTAATGTGTCTTATTTGTATTCTTATTTTTTTATTTTTATTTTTTTATATACTTTATGTATTTTATTTTTATACCAAGGTGTCAATCTTTTTTTTTTTTTTACCTATCAAGGTGTGTTCTAATTTTTTAAAATTATATTTCACATTCCATTTGGAGGGGTTTATAGTTGAATCTTCCTCCAGGGCCCTTTGCAGGCTAGGTTATGGGTGTTTTGGGGTGGAGTGGGCATCGCGCATCCCGTTTGGGGGGATGCTTCTGCGAGAGTTCTGATGTTTCATGTTTTTGTTTCATTTTGTTTTGTTTTTGCACGCCAACCTCTCTTTTTGTTTTATATTGTCGACCAATTGTCCAAGTTAGCCCTCATACAACCCTACTGTTTAAATCTAAGATGCTATGCTGTCTTCAATAGGACAGGACCTCCGGTTCACAAGCTTTAATTGCAAGGGACTTAATAACCCCATTAAACGCAGTAAAGTGCTTCATCATCTTCAGCAACTTGGAGCTCGGGTTACTTTCTTGCAGGAAACTCATCTTCGGCATGTAGATCATCTGAAATTGAAGAGGAGCTGGGTGGGTCAGATATTTCAATCAATCAATCAATCAAATTTTATTTATAAAGCGCTTTTCATACATAAGATGCAACACAAAGTGCTTTACAGATTGGTTAAAAACAATCCCGCCGACCCAAGACCCCTCCCCCAGACCACCCAACAGACCCCCCCCAAACCACAGACAAACACACACACACGCGCTCATGAACACTCATACACACACACACACACACACACACACCAGTAAAACAATAAAAACATGATGAGAGACTTGGCAGGGTTCAGATGCAACCAGCTGAAAAAGCGTCATCCAAGGAGCCGTCTGCACCAGGAGCAGAGAGCCGCCCGTAGCCACAGGGGACGACACAGGACCCAGAGGAGACATGAAACCGAGGCCCCAGGCCCCCACCAGGCCCAAGAGTCCGACCCCCGCAGCCACACCGACCACTGCTCCCGGTGCAGAGGGCTCCTCCAGAGGAAACACTGGGTACACTAAAAACAATACAATAAGTAAAACACTAAAATGTGAGACTAAAAGGAACACACAATACATGAATAATAGCAATAGCAATATAATAAATAATAAATAATAAAAGATAAATAGAATGGAATAATAAAAACTAATCAAAAGCTACTCTAAAAAGGTGCGTCTTGAGCCTACTTTTAAAAATATGAACGTTCTCTGCGGCCCTGAGCTCCTCCGGCAGACTGTTCCAGAGACGGGGGCCGTAGTGCTGGAAAGATGCCTCGCCGTGAGTGTGTGTCCTGACTTTGGGGATGGTTAGGAGTCTGCTGCCGGAGGAGCGCAGGGGCCGGGAAGGTTCATAGGATAAAAGCAAATCTGAAAGATAAGAAGGCCCAAGACCATTAAGACATTTAAAAACCATTAAAAGAACCTTAAAATCGATTCTGAAACACACGGGGAGCCAATGCAGCGATTTTAAAACCGGTGTAATGTGGTCCCGCCCCCTGGTCTTAGTCAGGACACGTGCGGCCGAGTTTTGGAGTAATTGAAGACTTGCAATGTTCTTTTTGGGAAGACCAGAGAGCAGGGCATTACAATAGTCAATGCGACTGGTGATAAAAGCATGCATCAGCGTCTCCGTGTTGCCCCGAGAGAGAATGGGGCGGACTCTGGCGATGTTCTTTAGATGATAAAAACCTATTTTTGTGATACTCTTGATGTGAGGAATAAAAGTCAGCTCAGAGTCAAAGATTACGCCCAGATTTTTCACTTGTGATGATGGATTAAAAGAGTGTGATTGGAGTTTTGATAAAAGTTTCTCTCTCTGGGCCTCAGGACCGATGACTAAAACCTCAGTTTTGTCCTGGTTAAGCTGGAGAAAGTTTTCTGCCATCCAGGATTTCAGGTCTAA